ATCAGTACCACTCGGTGCATTTTTTGAATAGAGAAATAATAAAGCAACTCTTGATATCATTCATATAATATAAACATATAATTAGATTAATATAAACATACACATAATTTATTTAATAAATAAATATATACATATACTAAATAAATACATAAAAAAATTACTATGTAAAACAATTTACTGTAATCATCATCTTCCTACCCTTATCCCAATCATTTGTGGTCGGCGTAATATGATTTTATCCATATTACAAAAAGATTTGGTTTTTTAGTTTTACGACCGGCCACCTGCCTGACGGCCACCCTCTTTGGGAATAAAACAATTTACTGTAATATACAAGCAAATAGCAATATATGACTCAAACAGAGTAACCAGCAAATCTAAGTTTAAAGGAAAAGTATTTTTTTTTTTTAAGAAATAGACACGCAATTTATTTTTAACAGCTAGTTTGCAATAGATTCGTCGAAACATTTTATTCGTTACGACCTTTTCGGATACTAAAACTTGCTATTAAGACAAAATAAATTAAAAACATAAGAGAGAGTGTAATTTATAATCTATTTAACTTTTAAATGGTATAAACAACGTTGGATATCACCCGTTTTATTGACAATAACATTTGAATGCCCTATAAAGCGTACACAAAAGCTCGCGGAACCCTTGCGTCTGCTCTTTCGACAGCCCCTAATTTGGTTACGAGTAAGCACATGCATTCCTATAAGCCAGTAATTTGCTGTTTTTTTCCTTAGGTAATCTGTTTTAAGATTTGTAAACATGTAAATCTTTACTAATTTTTTTTTATGGGTGATAATGGAATGGTCACCCCACCCGCGATATCGGTATACACCGGCGGGGCACCAGTGAGAGATGATAGGTGAGGATGAAGCAGGCCAGTTAGCCCATCGTAACGATCAACATTTGAATTTAGCCATGAATACAGAGTGACTATCATTGTGAATATCAAGTTCGGGCTTGGTTTTTACAACATCGTTATGCGGGTGATAGGTGATTTGATTCGCGGCACAAGTTTGTTCTGCAAGCTGCATTTTTAAATAGATAGCAAGGATGCCGCGGCACTAGTAGGTACATTGTATTCAAGTTTCTCCAGAAGACGTGACCAATCAATGTGATTATTCACCAACTTATGGAGACATGACAGACTATTCATAAAAGCTGATTGTTAAGTTTATTTGAATAAAATTTAATTATTATTATATATAGGTATATTATATTTCTGTATATACTTACCGTGTTCCTTTTAAATAAATATTCGCTCTTGCATTCACACGTGCGAACTTGGGATACAATTAAATCTAATACTTGTTAACATTGTGCTAAAATTCGTTCTCAATAATTTTAAACTCACCAACTGGGCACACCTCTGCTTACTTTCCGGTAATTTTTATTTTGCAATTAATTTTATTTATACTGTCTGCCGTTCAGCCTGGCCATCTGCGCTCTCTCGAAGATTAGATAAAGCAAAACCATAGACAAAGGTAAAAACAAAATTACAATAAGTCATTTTTTTAAATAAAATAATCTACGTCTACTCGTAAATTAATATTTGTTGTGTACCTCACATGATTACGAGTACCTTTTCTTTTTTACATGGGGAAATCCTCACGAGAGACCCACACACACCGGAGGAGGCATGTGGATACTGCCGGACTCTTACCGGCTAAAACCACCACCACCATGATTACTAGTATCTTTTAAAAAATTATCTGGGTTTTTAAAATTAAGACAGAAACAAACGCTATCAATTACAAAAGGAAACATCGAAATCGTTTCAGAATCGATAAAAAGATAACTTAATTTATACTAAACAAATACATCGAATCTAATTTGAAATAATTTTGGTCAAGATCAATTTCCCAAAGGCATATTTTTTAAGAAAAGTTTTCAATTTTTTACCAAAAAACCTTCCATTATCTTTCGATTAAAAAAAATATGAATAAATAAATAATATTTTTATTATTATAAAGATTATATAAACAATGGAAATAAAAAATACAAACGCTCAGCAAAAGGTGTCCCCTCAGATTTATGCTTCCTACAGTTCCGATTGTCAAAAGATTCCTATAATCTCTTACAATATAATTTATTCGCAAAACATGTGTGTAAAAATATCACATACTTAAAATTTTATATCAGTACCGTAAACTTGCCATGTGGTCCCGACATAGAACGGGCCACCCCTTCCTTTCCCATAGGTATCATAAAAGATCCCTTAGTCATCTTAACGATCGAAATACAGGCAGCAGGGTCCCTCTTAAAACATCACCAAATGCTAACTGCGGTTACCAACCCGCTTGCCAAGCGTGGCAACTACTGGCAAAATACCCCATTATGGGAGAGATCTATAGAAATTTTATCAAATTCGCTTCAAAAGTTTCATTTTAACTCAAAATAACTGCTTTTAGCACTAGTGAAGTCAGATTTTTGTAGATAATTACTTGAAGTTGATTTAAAACTACAGACGAATCGAGAAACTTCTCGGTTTCTCTACTAAAACTAAAATCGGTTAATATAAAAGGTCAGCAGTGAAGCTACTCCAGTACAGTACACACGCCTATATTCATTAGGGATCGCTCTCCATTTATTAACTCTAAATGACTCTGAAAAGATCTCATTGTTCGATCGTTAATCGAATAACACAGTTAAGTTAATCTTAATAGCAGTTAAACGTTAAACCTAAGAAATAAGATGAAGTATAATTGAATGACGAGAATAAAACTGAATAAAGTAAGCCAAAATATGGCTGTGTTTTGATCTCAAAAGATATGGTAGTTTGATTAGAAGAATTGAAGATTGTATGCCACAAAAATCGACTTCAGTTGTGTACAAAATTAAATATGTTGATCTAAAAATTAAACGACTGGATCAATTTTTACAAATAGACTTGTTTACAAGCATTTTTAAACTGTAATTATTTTAAATGAAAGCGGTTTGGTTCGAAAAGTTGTTATCTGCTTAGAAAAACCTACAAGAATCTCAATAAGTGCTCTTTTAAATCTCTGTGAGCATATATGTATTATAAATACACATTTTTTTTAAATATATGTAAATAAAATTACATGGTCATTTAAAAAAACGTACATGATCGTTTAACACCATGCACGTTTGTCATTCAAGTGATCACAATTTTGACCTTAGTAATGGCAAATTATGAGTGGTATCACGGGTATCAGAATTTATTCTGTGACGCTCACGGCACAGTTACTGTCTATAGGCGACCGTTACTACTATCAATCAGGTGGGCTGTCAGCTTGTTGGACATTCTCAGTCATATAATTATTTTTTTAAATATCTGTCATATGAGAGAAGAGAGAAATCTAAAAGGACTTAATTTCGAAAAGTACTCGTAATTATAATCAACATTCTGTAAATCAAAAAAAAATCTCATACATACACAACAATTGCTTAATCCTCAAGCAAGAATACCATATCTTAAAAGAAACCAAGTATCGAAATTAAGGGCAGAACTCTGAACACCCAGACCCGAATACAGAAAAGCTCAGTCCTAAATTGTCGTGACCAGAAATCAAATCCGAAACCTCATTGCTACGAGTCCTCTACTGTACCTTGGAGATCATCAGAAGACAAATATAGCCGAATTACAACGCGCTTCCTTTATTTACAATTTATATTGAGCGAGAAAAAGTCTGCATTACCATCAGTCCTCAAATTAGGCCAGACCTGTATCTTGGGGACTATAAAACTATTTACGAAGTCGATTAACGATTTACACGAGTAAATCCGCATGTTACAATAATTCAACACCACTCGGCGATCTCAATTTAAATCTTCAGAGGCCACCGCAAAGCCTGTACAGTGTACACACGGGGTCACTTCATTATTTTTGTTTGCAAAGCAATCTATCGACAACGGGCGGCTGTTTGCGCGTCTGTGTCAACACAGCAAATTGTGGCATGTTTACAGCCACAATGTCCATCTTCTAAGTCAAAGAAAATGGATTTTGGCAATGTTACTTTGTGGGCTTAACGATACGGGATTGAAGATTCTAATTTAAGTCATGCCAACGAATGATCTCGTGATTGTGCATACAGAACTTCAGAAGTTGTTAATTGTAAACGAAGTAATAATTTAGAAAATCCGGGTCATAAAAAAGAAATTAATATTTTTAGCGTATTGTTATACATAAATCTAAATCAATAGCATGTTTATAAAGAATTTACATTATTATCTGAGTAGAAAAAAGTAAAATACATTGAAAGCATGTATACAACGGAAATTTTATGAACTTACTACGTTTGTCATTTTCGCCATTTGTTTCGACTTTATCCGGAAGACTTCTTGAAGGTGCGTATGTCACTTCGCATCACAGCGTCTCGCCATGCACAAATGAAGAATGATGGATTGGTTGATGTCAAAATAATTGTCAAAAATAACAAACATAGTAAGTTTATAAGTTTCCCGTTATGTTATGTTATGTTATGCCTCTGTACTCTGTAATTTCATTGCCATATCCCACCCTTCAAACCGAAACACAGCCATGCAAACACAACTGCTTCAACGTTGAAACACGAATGGGACAGAGGTACCTAAGCAAACGACTTTTGTACAAAGTCTCCCTCTGGTAATGTTTGCTAAAATGATCCCCGCTCAGCATAATGTTGCAACCGAGGAGCTATAGCGCTGATTTTCAGCGGTAGCCGTTTGGGTAGGACTAGCATATTAACATTCTGCTCTTCTAAAAAGTATATTGAAAAAGTTTTATTATATTATTTATATTTATTTTGAAATGTGGAAGATGGCAATGAAATTACAGGGTACAGAGGCATAACACCTAAGTCCTCAGGAATGGCAACGGATGGGAGGTATCATGGCGAAACAGTATACTGTTTTATGTCCATGGTACTGCTCATATCTATAGGTGACGGTTACTACTTACCATCAGATAAGCCGTCAGCTTGTTTGTCATTCCAAATTGCATATTTTTTTTGCTACATTGAATGTAATGAAACAATGCTCCCGCGCAGGGGGAGAGCCCGGGGCCGGAGCGGCGGCACGGCGAGAGCGAACCGCCCGAGATGCCCCCGCCGGACACGCCGCCCGCCCCCAACGCGCCCCCAGACCCACCGCCCGCCGCCACCGCCGCCGCCACGGCTAACAGCACCGTCACTGTAAGTTACGAAATGGTAACCCCGCCTGCACTGTCGGTGTACCCTGCGGGGCACCAGTAAGGGATGAGATGAGGATTAAAGCAAATCAATCGACCCATAGTGACGAGTTCAACAGGAATTACGATGGTTTGCAAGGGGAAATACTAGCATCAGGATTGTTGTTTTAATGTAAATAACTACTGGTTTGAGTCGCGTGCGCAGTTAGTCTCGCACTCGCTTCACACCCACTCATGACTAAGGGTCCCGAATGTTCCTGAAACTAGTCGAGCTTTCTCAACCAAAATACACGTGAGCTAAACCGGTAGCTCTTACATTAAAATACAAGTACACCTTTCGTAGATACTCGTTGGTATGTAGAATAAAATCTCCATAACCGAACATCAATTATCCGAATATTCGATTATCCGGACTTATGCTTCACGGCTCTAATTACCGATTTAGAATCTATTATTTTTATAGCTCATATTTATTTTATCGTTTGATTTGACCATTTAGATTATATTATTTTTGATTATTAACACCTCCGTTTTTATTTGATCCGGATAATCGTGATTCTACTGTATACAGTATAGCTATGTCTAAAAATTTTGGTCCCGCCAGCTTAACCAACTGGACGTCACGTTTAATTATCTTTCATTCTGTCCTTTGTGGGATTACTCAGTGAACCTATCTATACTTATACCTGATCAGATATTAGTAATACGACAGCTATAAAGATTTTAAGAATATTTTGCTGAACTAGGTGTTTTCTTGCAGAAGTCTATATTACTGGTTATTTGATTAAAATTATTTTGTTTAATTCCGCTACCGTTAGTACAGCATTCGCAGACGCACACATACTAATGGTAGCGGAATTAAACAAAATAATTCCAATTGAATAACCAGTCACTGATAAACCGTTTTCTTAAATTGCTGTTCATTTTAATTTAATTTATTCGTAACAATATTACATCGTGTTGGATATTTTTTTTTATAATTTATAAAATATAATAAAAAAAATTACAATAAATTGAAAAAGTATGAAGGAATGAAATAATTAATAATAATTGTACAAAAATTATAAAATTTAAAAATGTCATTGGTAAGCAATTTTAATACAGCACATATGAAAATTGCTTAGCCACTCTATATTTGAAGGATTCGAGATCCGAGGTTTAAAAATCATTAATTGAGTAGATGCACCTTTCCAACAAATGTTAGTAATTATTTCGATTTGCCATATCATTGAAACTTAATTTAATCTGCAGCAAACCCAAAAAACCTGTTCGGTTGTGGTGTCGTTAACTCCGGAGCGGCAGCGCGAGACATGGGCCAAGAAAGCGGAGTTTCTACTGGCGGTCGTGGGGTTTGCCGTCGATCTGGGCAACGTGTGGAGATTCCCCTACATCTGTTACCAGAATGGTGGCGGTAAGTTGCAGAGAGTTCTATATTTATTACCCTGTTATGCAAATAACAATAGAATACATTTTATATTGACTTCAAAAAGAAGGAAGTCCTTTTTTTTATACAACTTAGAATGGTAAACAAGTTGACGGCCTACCTGATGAGAAGTGATAACCGTCGCCTACAGCGGGGAAAGGGATTGTTAGCAATGGAGTTTGCCAGCCTCATTGCTAGCAATATGCCCTATTAGGTCGACGTCCACGTGGTTCCCCCTGGAAACCATCGTGAACAATTCTTGTTGAATTCGTCACGATGGGCCAACTGACCTGCTTCATCCTCACCTATCATTCTTCACTGGTGCTCTAAGGAGCAAGGAAATAACAAAAAAAAAGCAAACTGCAAGTACTGGGACAACAATAAAATCCAAACTGATTTCCACAGGTGCATTTCTAATTCCGTACTGCGTGATGCTGTTGTTCGGCGGTCTGCCGCTCTTCTTCATGGAGCTGGCCCTCGGTCAGTACCATCGCTGCGGCTGCCTCACGCTCTGGAAGAGAATATGTCCAGCTCTCAAAGGTATGTTCTTATTTATTGAACATTAATACACCTACAGAGTGTAAAATGCGTACTTTACACAATATGGCGTTATCTACCAATCGACCATAGACCATAACAGAAAATATAACTAACATTAAATGTTAATTGAAGTAAACCGCAACGCATTAATGGAAACCGCGTTCAAATCGGTTAAGCCGTTTCTGAGATTAGCGTACACAGACTTACACAAACAGACAAAAATTCTAAAAATCATTGTCTTAGGTTTTATTGCGTTCATAAAGCCCTCCCTGTAATATTTTTTTCTTGTATATCTTCCATGTACAGACAGCGACCAGTTACGATTTTATTATATGTATTGATAATAGTTAAAAATTAAAAAAAAAAAACATTATATTCGAATACTTTTGAATATAGTAGACTTTGTAACGAGGTGATCGAAGTCATAGAAAAATGCCATAGTTATTGCCATTAGCTACGAAACTGTGAAGACATGTTTATTTATTTGTTACAAAATCACGCCTAAACGACTGAACGGATTCCAATAATCTATGCTAACCCTAACAAAACGGGGGAAAAGCGATTGTTAGTAATGGAGACTGAGAATCCCATTGCTAGCAATATACCCAACCAGGACGACCTCGCGGTTCCTTCTGGAAACTATCATGGTTAATTCCTGATGAATTCATCATGATGGGCTAACTGGCCTGTTTTCATTCTCATCTATCACCGTTCACTGGTGCTCCGCTAGCGTATCCCGTTAGCGCAAGCGGGGTTACCATACCATTTACATCAAATAACGTATCAATATAAAAAGCATATCATACACCAGTTTTTAAGTTTTATTTTTTTGCAATGGATGAAAATAAAATGAGTCACGTGCAATTAGACCTTATAGGATCATATTGCTAGCAATAGGGTATAACCCCTCCCCATTTATAAGTTAGACCTTAAGGAATACAACTATCCAATTTGATGTAACAGTTTTTGAATTATGCCTGAACAAACGTATAGATTTATAAATAGATAGATTTATTAGCCAGGTCATTGTTTTTTACAAATATTGTTTTATTGCGATGTACAAATATTCGTCTTATAGTTTAAAACATGGAAACTCATTATTGACTAGGTACAAGTTATTATATTTAACAGTACATCGATTATTCATTCGAGTAATAATAATAAAATCATAATATAGCGGTTACCGTAGCCTATGAACGCTGGCAATACCAGGGATATAACACACGCGTTGCAGAACCTGAAACAACCTCTTTACCGCTTTTTTTTAAGTTTATTTTAGTTTAGTTGGAAGATAATTTGAGCATTCATGGTAGAAACATCTCTGGAACCGCGCTGTACGCGACCATCTAGGCTGTAGGGTATGAAGGTGAACTCCTTATCGATGGCGAGCTGAACGATGGTAGAAAGTGTCAGTGGACATCATATTGAACAATTCCTCTGAACACACATTATTGTATTACTAAAATAAAAAGTAAGATGAGATTACAAAAAAATGCAAACCACAATAAAATACTTGAGCCAGCTAAGTGATTGTCATCGGATATTGAGAGACTTGCCCTCTGGGACAGCTCTCGGTCTGTTTGTTCGTCACTTGCCGTATTGGGCGTCCATTAATACCTTTATTTGGGATCCGGATTGTCGATAGGGAAATCATTCCGGTGTAAATACTTCAAACGGCTCGTCGTAAATTAAAGTGATACTTATTAATTTCCCGTTACTTATGTCTATATTTTGTATCGAATAAAAAAGAATATAAATTTTACAAATAAGCAAGTATCCTAGGCACCCTACCAGCTGGCAGTGATCTCAAAGAAATATATATATATATATATATATATATATATATATATATATATATATATATATATATATATATATATATATATATATATATATATATATATTTTTCAATTACTTATATCTAATTAAATAAATTATGTCTATAACCAAGTTAAAAAAAAATTACAAATAATAAAATGATACTTTATACGCAGTGTTGCCAGACTGGATACTTTTCTTGTGAGTTTGGATAAAAAATATTGTATTCGTGAAATTTTGAAGTAATGAAATTCTTGAAGAATTCTAGGTGATTTTTTTGAGGACAGGAAAAGAAACATCTTACCTGTTACTCTCAGCTGGAACTATTAATTGAATTGGATGATTCTGTAATAATTTATATGCAAAAAATATCTTATATGAACGAGACAAAATCAAAAGAGAAATTTATTAATAATAAAATATAGAACTGTTAGTAATAAATAATTTAAGATTGTTCCATAAAAAAAAAAAACAAAATTAGGTCAATTGCTGTAAAACCAATTATTTTGATTTGAAAACTAAGTTCCTAAATCAATTTGGATAACATTTTTTTGAGACCAATTTGAAAATATATCTATTCAGTTAAAAAACCAATTTTCCAAATTAATTTACAACTTATGGAAGTCACGAGATAACAATCATGAAGAAAAATACCACCGAATTGAGAATCACCACTTTTTTTGGAGTCAGGTTGAAAAGTATCGCTGTTTATACGAAGCAATTTCACTAATGTTAAAAGAATGGGCGAAACAGTATACTCTGTTATGTCCATGGCACTGCTCATGTCTATAGGCGACGGTTACCACTTTCCATCAGGTGGGCCGTCAGCTTGTTTGCCATTCTAAGTTGTAAAAAAAAAAGAATGAAATGCAGACAAATCCCCATTGAAAGGCTCGTCTCATCGGATGTCCACTTTGGAAATCAAACTGGAGTGTACACACAGTACCTTTTATATAAGGTGATACATTAGGCTAGGAACTTTATAAATATACAGTAGGCAATGCTTTTAACGCTAAGACAAATGGTCGAGCTGTGAGTAGTGCGGATGGGCCTTGTTAAAATGTATGAATGGGCCGATTGCACTCGTTGTGGGACAAGAGGAACTTACCATAGTGATGTGCCGTGTTGGGCTTTGATATTCGAATTGTTTTGGTACGTTTCGAAAATCGAATATTGATTGAAGTTTTTGGACTCGGATAAGTACTCAAGTATTTGTGGATGTTTCGCGAGTACTTCAACAGTGCCGTTTTGCAATAAGCTGCAAAATGAACGACAAAAAAGAGGCTATTCTTTCTGTTTCTATTTTTTCATCTCCTTCTCTTTTTGTTAACTACCTTCAATCGTATATTTTACTGTAATTATGTACCATATGTACCTATACAGAATTTACAAGTACTAAACCAATATAATCCAAACTATAACCCAAAATTTTCAATAAAAAATATTTAAAAATCTCCATAAAATTATTTTTTTTTAAATTTTGCGTATAGAAAATTTTTCACCCAAAATTGTGAAAAATATATAATCTGACAACACTGTAAAACATATACAATTATGAACCTTTAGTGTATTGTAACGATGTTGCCACATTTGTATAACATTTGTTACATTTTTCGTAATTTACCAAAAGATACAGAGAGTGCAATTGTAATCATTAGCTCTCATTTTTCATTTTTCTCAAAAAAAAAGCGTTAATCGAAAAATGAGAAAAGCTTAGAGAGCTTTTTTGTAGAGCTTCCCATACTAACTTAATAGTTGAACATATAGGCATGGTTAGTATCGGATTAAAACTTTCTGTTGTTTATCTATTCTGGTTTAATTGGAAAAAAAAATTACTATAGTTTTAAACGCATGTTCTATGTGTATAAAATAAACATTTTGTTAAAGTTAAAGTCATTATGTTCAAGTTAAAGTCGGTTGAAAGAGAAAGACTTAGTACAAACGTCGTCTGTTTGTTACCTCTGTTTCATTCATGTTTCTGCTATGAAACAATTGTGTTTGCATGGTTGTGTTTCGGTTTGATGAATGGAATACGGCGATAAAATTACAGGGTAGATAACACCTTAATCCTTAAAAATGGTAATTCATGAAGGGCAGTATACTCTGTTATGAAATGAAATAAAATTAATTTATTTTGCTTGAATGCAGGTAGTTTTAAATTAAAGAAGTTTTCATTTCCCATATATATTCTACCTTTATGTCGACCATATATCCATAGTACTGTTCATGCTTATAGGCGACAGTTACCACTTTACATCAGGTGATCCGTCAACTTGTTTACCATTCTAAATTGCATAAAAAAAATATTTTGAGCCTCCCATAGTAACTTGAAATCTAGTCAATATAAGGGTGTTAAAGGGTTTAGCCGGATAAATATGTCGAATCTGCCCCCAAATGGGAACCTATAGGAGGGAAAGGGATTGTTAGCAATGGAGTTTGATAGCCCCATTGCTAGCAATATACCTAATAGGGCATTAGGTCGACCTCCACGTGGTCCCCCCTGGAAACCATCGTGAACAATTCTTGTTGAATTCGTCACGATGGGTCAACTGACCTACTTCATCCTCACCTATCATCCTTCACTGGTGTCCCGCCAGCGTATTCCGATAGCGCAGGCGGGGTTAATATTCCATTACCACCCATTTAAAAAAAAATGGGAACCTATATCGAAATATATAGGTAATGTATCGGAAGATATAGGTTCCCATTTGAGAGCAGATTCGACATATTTATCCGGCTAAACCCTTTGTCTTTTTTTTTAAATGTTCAATTACGCTAGTAGAAAACTCTTTTGAAAGGACGGTAATGATTTTGATATCATCTCTATAGAATCATTGATTTGTATTCAGTATAAATCGCTGGAATATTACATATCATTTGAGTAGAGAGTAGATACCTAAGCGTCGGTAGATCTGTCGCGCAAATATTGGCTCCCCTCTTCATTGCGCGGTACTTTTCAGGCCAACACTGTTTTTATCCTACTATTATTATAAACTAGCTATGCCCGCGACGTCGTTCGCACGGCGTATTCAATTTTTTTCATAAGAACGAGACGTTTTACCACAGTAAAATATAGGGTGAAAGTCCCCAAAAATTTATGAAGGGAAAAATTGCAATGTCTTCGAAATTTCCATGAGTGCCAACTACGCTCTAAAGACTTTCTCTTACTTGTTTATCCTCTT